ATAAGCTGTAAACTGGGAGAAGACATCTACAACACATAACCAAAAAACAAGCAGTATCTCGAACATATAAAGAACTACAAATGATTCAAATCAAGCCAAAAGTTTTGGGCAAAAGATCAAAACAAGCATTTCACACAAAAGAAAACATGAGAGCTAACTAAAGATATGAAAACATGGTTAACCTTGTTAATTATCAGGGAAATGGAAATGTAATACTTTATTTCATTACCACCAGATTGGCAAAAATGAAAAGCTCGGCAATAATGTGAAACAACAGGCATTCTTATACACTGCTGGTATGAGTATGGAGACTACCTTTGAGGCATTCACATCTGTTTTTCTCCTCCGCTTTGTAACTTCTTCTATTCTCTGTTTAAAGCAAAATAAAAATTCAAACATAAAAACAGATAAGAAACCAAACACTTGTCCTAAAAGAATTGATTATCCCCATTTCGCAGAGGTAGACAATGGCAGCGATTGCTCCAAAACGCCAGATATTACCAACAGAAGGCTTGTGGTGGCAGTTAAGTTCCCTATCCCAATCCCAGTTTCAGCTGTACAATGCCTGGAATGATGACCGCTGGATTTGTTATAACACAAATATCCAAATGACAGCATCTCACTCCTAATTTTGCATATGCAGGAATTCATTACTTAGACTAAGCATATTGCAAACCAATTAGAGCTTTTAACATAATTTTAGTCTTAACATAATTATAGTCTTTAGTCTTCAGTTGATTCCTGAAGCCAATGTTAATGAAAATAATATACACCTCAATGATGCCACACTGTTAGAGACTGTGTTAGTGAAGAGAGAAGACAGGAGGTGGAAGAGTAATGTATTCTAGGGAATGACAGGAATTCTTTCTCCTGTGCATACTTATTTCCCTGCAGTGAGGAGACTTGCAGCTCCCTGGCCCCCTCGAGGTGACCAATCTACTACCAGAGAAGCCTTGCAGCACCTGAGTCTGGACCACGGCTACCAGATGAGCTCACATGTGGTCCTACCTTACAAATAGTCTGCGCCTTGGCCTCTCAGAGAGGCCCGCAGTTTCTGCTTCTTCCCATGTAGTTGCTGCAATTTCCAGCAAGTTTGGAAGAAATTCTTAACTTCCACCAACTCCTACCATGACTGGAGTCATTCTGCTCAGAGGAGTTTTGTTACCAGAGGTTTGATATAGTGAGGCATCACTATAACAGCCACCGAGGGTCCATGGGGGGGAGGCATGATCAGTATGAGGGGAGCCTTCTATGCAGGAGAGGTCAGATCCTTGGATAAGGAAGATAACAGAGTGGGGAAACCACCAGGGGCTAGCATACACCAGATTTGTGATTTTTAAAAATGTGCTGATATCAGGTGCCCAATATTGTTTTAAACACAAAATCAAGTCCCCCCAAATAGAGAGTACCTTTTTTCTTTGTAGGCGTCCTTTTAAATTTTGTGAAATAATTCTGTCGTGTTCTTTCTTGTGTTTGTCGGCTTCCCCTTGAGCTTCTATTTTGGTATCCCCTTCCTAGGAAATTTATATACAAGTATCATTTAATCTCAAGATACCTGAGTGACATCAGAGAACTCTAGTTTAAAAACTTCAACAGTAAAATGTTATGCAGCATAAGAAAAGAATGTAACCTTTTGGATGAAGGTTCCTATATATAAGATATTTGTGGATTGTCAATTTTCAAAGCACTAGTTAGAATGCACAAAGCTGGGCCGGGCGCGGTGGCTCAAGCCTGTAATCCCAGCACTTTGGGAGGCCGAGGCGGGTGGATCACGAGGTCAAGAGATCGAGACCATC